TCCGGGTGTACCCGCGCGATAGTTCCGATCACAACAGACGTCTATTTATATCTGCTCGTAATAATTGTAAAGATGTCCTTAAAGAGGCTAAGTCTTTGTTTGATGATAGAATGAGGCACCGTATAGTCTCTAACAAGAGGCTCTGTAATAGTGTTAAATAAGTCTTCTATCTTTCCTTTTTTCACTCAGTTTAAGATGTTAACATCTAAAGACTATCTTTCTCGTAATTTCTCTTTAAATTCAGCCTCTATAGCTCACAGGAATCACTTTTTACCGGATGTACCAGATGGATAGTTCCGATTACAACAGACGCCTTTTTATGTCTGCTCGTAATAATTGTTAAATGTAAACATATCCTCAAAGAAGTTAAGTTTTTTTGTTGACAGAATGAAGCACGTGTGGCCTCTAACAACTTTGGCTCTCGTGATTACTAGCGGTTCTGTAATAGTATCTTAAAGATTAAGTCTTCTATCCCTCCTCTCTTCACACAATTTGAGGTGCTCATCTTCTGCTGATAAAGCAGAATGTCTGGGTCGTAAATATTAAAAAAATATTAAAATCCGTCATCGAAAACAATTCAGTTTTCCATATCATGTACGAAGTAAATATTGAAAATTCTTGATTCCAACAGCTACAACTTTACAACTTCTACATATTAAAAATACTCCTTCCTCATTAATTATACGAAAGATGCAGAAAAGTTCTCGTCCTGGGTATGACGATAAACTACATCCAGCAGCAATGCATCTAATCGGGCGGTTTTGAGGAACGTGGAACCACGTCTTAATTGCTTTTGTTCCTAGGTCTACTCTGAATCGGGGTGGTAGCAACTGTCATTGGCAAATATTTAACCACCAAACCGGGGTCAAAACAATATGAAAGTATAAAAATAGATTTTTATAGTAAAAATACCAGCAATACATTTTTGAAAAAAATATTACCAGCAATATATTTGATTCTCGACAAAACCTCTCTTTACAAAAATACGTCAATAAAGCCTTATCTACAAACTGATTTCTAACAAGGAATACATATTCTCTTCATACGAACCTATCTTAAAAATTTGTCGGCATTAAATAATCCATTGAGGTTGATATGCCATTAAACAAAATAAGCCAAACCTGATCTACAAATTAATTTCTTACAAAGAATACATATTTTATTCATACGAATCTATCTTAAAAATCTTGTCTGTATTAAATAACTGATTGAGGCATTGATATGCCGTAAAACAAAATAAACGAAACAAAATAGATGAAACAGAAAAGTTCTTGGCTTGACTAAATTTCCCAAAACAGTATTCTGATGTTTAGTCATATAAATATCGATTTTTGGAAGTATCGTATATCCACTACACTGAGACGTTACATCGCAAGACGCATCCTATAATTAGCTAGGTATTTTGAGGGAAGGAAATATATGTGGATTTAATAACTTACCGTACTAGCAAGTCCAATTCATCGACTCTATGGGGTGGTAGCACCTGTTAGGATCCCAGCTCTGGGCAAATAGTGAGCTCTCCCAACAAAAACACTATGAAAATATAAAAATACATTTTAATAGTAAAAATACCAGCAATATATTTTTATATAAAAAAAGATTGGCAATACATAATTTTTTATACATTTTATCTGTAGTTAAAGGCATGTAATTACATTCAAAATATTTAGTTGAAGCCATAGAATTGTGTTTTAGATTTCGGCATTAAATTATCCATATCGCTTGATATGGCGCTCAACAAAATCAACCAACCAACCGACTCTACGGTGTCATTTCTTTTTTCTGTCGCAACAAATTTTCACATTTTGGACCTATTATTAAATATTTATGATTATTATTAATTATATTTTCAATATTTTAGCCAGGGCCGTAGAAGAGACAAATATTTGGGGGGGGGGATTTAGAATTTAGCTTTAATGTATCAAAGATTGCCAACATGGTTAGCGACAAGAACATTTAAAATTCCCAGTACCTCCTCGCTTTCATAGCTTCTTTCTTTATTGTATTTTGTTAAAATAAAACCCTGTAAATAATACAATTGGTAAAAATTTTGGGAGAGCCAAGGCCACCCCCCCGGCTGTTACGGTCCTGTTAGTACAATGTTACATATGAAACGTAACCGTCATCCTGTATTACGTGACTAGGGTTGAGTTTTGTGAAGATACCGTATATATGAATATAAAGACATATCGAACCGGTAGGAAGCTGTCTACTGGTTATCGTCAATACTCGAACAAAACAATATATATGGTATGTGTTATGGGGTCCACCCCTTTTTCATACAAGTGGACTCGACCGGTGTGTATTTGTACTGCTGCCGTTAAATACCCAGAGTCAGAGTAGTCAGAGTAGAGCAGAGATTGTGATTGAGTTGGAGGTAGAGTAATAGTGTGAGGTAACCGCTTGTAGAAGTCACAGTTACAAGCACGTAGACTCTAAGGAAGTCCTACGTCGAGGCTGAATTTACTCGACTGTGTATATATATATTATTATTGCTACTAACCGTGTTTCTGGATCTACTAACCGTGTTACCAATTGTATTATTGTGTAAATACATTTATTTGCTATATTTCATTCTTGCATTTGTCATTCATTGGAGACCGGATTTCATCCCGGGATCCACAACAGTATGATAATAACGGGATATATTGTTCTGTGCTAATAGGAATATATATTTAAAAACAAGGTGGATAAAATAAGTAAAGGTTTATTGTAAAAAACCAGTACAATAAGAATAAAGGTAACAGTTATGCACAAGGTCGTCGTAAGTCAATCCAGTAATGAGTGCTGCTATTGGAAGGTCGGTAGTTCTCGCGTAAGTCTGAGTCGTCCTCAACAGATCCTAGCTAGTAATATTTACCAACCTTCCCACGGGGTAGGATGTGGCACAATGCCGAATTTAATGTGGGGCAATCCGAGCACGTAGGCTCGGCCAAAATTCCCCGTAAACCCCGCATAAACGGGTTCGGTCCTGTCTACCTCCCCGGACGAGACTCTGCCCATTTTCTGTAGGTAGATACTCTTGGTGTCATCAGATGTTTATAAAACTCAGCCTACAATAATTAAAAATAAATACTAATAAAAAGAACTAAGTTTAGTGTGATACGTATAGTGATGGTATAAAAATTGCCTCACTTGTTGGCTATTTTGGCATGCGGCGGCTTCCTCACTTTGCTCGATCCAGTAGCAGTAGCGGAAATAATCAGCAGGGTACAACCGGAATCGCAGAGGTCATAAAAACCTTGACCGAGCCTTATTCGGCCTCTTTTCCACCTTCATGTTCAGCGGCCTCCATTTTCTTTTTCAGTGACCTCGACCTCACGGTTAGCTCTCTTTTTCATCTTCTTACTTCAGCAGCCTCTAGATTCAAGGCCCGCTCTTTCACTTTTTTCTGCGCTTCCTAACTTCAAGCCCAGCTCAAAGAGCTACACACAACCATCGCTGCAGAAAACGAGGCCTGTCCTGGTAGCTTGACGTCAGATTTCTCGTTCCTCTCCCGTAGGAACTGGCAGAGAAATCCCCCTTCGAGATACCTACCAAAGACAAACTACACACAACCCTTGCTGCAAAAAATGTGACCTGTCCAAGCAGTTTCACACTCGGATCTCTCGTTCCTCCCGTGAGAACTAGCAGAGAAATCTCTCAACATAAACAACTACTATAATCAAGAACTTTGTTAATTGAAAAATCCACTCTCAAAATACTACTATTTTGCACCCCTTTTAAACCAGAAATAAAAGCTGTTGAACTGTTATTTTCAAGCTTTGAGTTTTTGTCCATTCCACTCATACTGCTGAGCGCAAACACACGCGTAAGCGGGAAAAATCTCAGCTATAAGTATGTGAATGTAAGTGTATGTCGAGCTGGGGGTGGTAGAAAGAGCTTGTTCTTGAGGGTGGATGGGTGTTGCACGGTTGTTTCTTAGTTCTTGGACCCCGGAAGAAATACCGGCTGAACCCTCTTATCTTAGGCCCTGAATTTGATTTGCAATAAATTGTGAAATAGGGGTAATTCTTAAAGAACATTTTTATTGGCAAACAAAAGATAGCTATTCTACTTTATTTAAAGAATTTGCAGTAAGTTTACTTCAAGCTATGTAAATGTCAGTAAAAGATATCATACGAGTAAAAAAATATTCAAGATCGGCGCGGGTGAGTTAAGGGTTGGTCCGTCTGAGGAAGGTGCATAATTTCATTAGCTCAGGTGCCCAAAAGGTCATAATCTGACCCTGCTGACAACGCCCTGAATATGCAGCAACCCGAATATGTAGTTCAATTTACTCAAGATTAAACATGCTGGTAATCTAGCTGGATTACGGTAAATGATCACAAGAGATGGGGTGCGTCAATAGTACACAGCACCCATATTAATACACTGTATATTCTGTGGGATTATCACACCTTGTTTGCTAGAAAACTTCCCTTAACGCCCGCTATGTGACAATGTATAAAACAGTATAAAATTTAGTGTACGAACACTCTCTTTCTCTGTCTTTACTAATGACAAGACGTGTCTCGTTTCTTTTTCGGTAAATCTTCTTAGTTCCAAGGCGCACCATTTATCACATGCAACACAGTAAACTATCTCCTGTACGAAAAAACACGGTATTATTACTGCAAGCTATGTAAATATCCCTAAAATATATCACGGGCAAACATATTCAAGACACGCCCGGACGAGTTGTAGTAATATCTCACATCTAACACATTAATATATACTTTCATTCTACACATTGATTGGTTGACAGTTGCTCAACCCTTTGCAGGCTATTTAAAGCCAGAAAATATTTTTAGATTGTAAAAATATTTTTGAGATAATAATGGTTTTCCGACACAAGTCGTATTAATGAATGCATATTTGATAGAGAAGAGGTGCAGTCATACCTTTCCCACCTTTACCTTTGCGCATAAGTGCATCTAACGAACCCAACGGAAATTGGAACTCGGTTTTTTCGATTAAAATCCCGAGCCATTATCCATTACACCAACCAACAATCCAAGCTTACAGTACCTGGTGTTCTCAAGCGGTCATCTATCTAGGTACTGACCAGGCTCGATGTTGCTTAACATCGGTGATAATACGGGAATCGATGTTTCAACGTGATGTGGCCGTAAACCTCCATTCTGCATAAGAAAACATTCCAGTTCAATAACAAGAGAACACTGTCACAAAATGGATTCTCGTAACGAACTGGTAACATAATGTCTTTACAATCTTACTTTGTTTTATTGTTTTAATTGTATTTATATTATCATTTTGAGGCAGTTTATTAACATCTGGGCCGCTGCGTGCTACTCCGACCTAGAGTGGGGGAGCAAACTTGATTGAACGCCTCGGGCAGTGCTTTGTGAATCCCACTATCTTATCTATCTTGTGGTAATAAAGTAAGCACATCTTGTCTCCCCTCTCGCTTATAACCATCCATTATAATAAAATAAATATTTTCAGCACTAAAACTGAAGTCATAAACTTCTAATTAGAGTTGTTGCTTTATTACATCAACATTTGCTTTTTTTAAACCTATATTTACATTATTCGTGCTGTTATCCTCATCTTAATTGCCATATTCACAATGTTTCGGCCGTTGTACGCTCCGGTCTTCTTCAGGTGATTAGAATTTCAAACCGAGACCTTTATTTCGTCCAACAGGGTAGATTGTTCTAGTTCCACGTGCCATGCCTCTTCCGGATTTCTCAGTTATTTTCCTTTAACTCAACTCTCCAAGTATTTTTTTTTTTGGTTTACCATTGCTGTAGCCTGGTATTGAACTCACAATTCTTTGGGTCTAGTCATTGGAACTAACCAACGTTGTGAATATAGAAATGAAGATGAGAATAAGAGTCCGAATAATGTAAATAATTATATATCTCGGAAATATATATATATATATATATATATATATATATATATATATATATATATATATATATAATTAAACTAAGCATTCTTAAAGGATGAGCAATTTTTGCGGATTTTGACGTCATTCTGGTTTTTGTTTCCATTCAAATCTGTGAATTTGTTTTCTTCATGTTAAGTTTCAAAAACACTATATAAAATGTATGCTGAATGTGTTAAATTATTCAACTTTTTAACAAGAAAATCTCATATTGATGCTAAAAATTCCCGCAGACCATTCTCGATTTATTTAAGATGGAATGGTCTATTATGACATGTCTCTAATTTGTATTTAGATACATTGTATTTATTTTCAATTTTTCTAGTTGAATTGTTCACCTACATTGCATATGATCAATTATTGTACATAATTAGGTTACAATGAAATTTGTATTTTATATGAATACTACCTTATGAAAACTGGGAGGTAATAGAATGAGAGAGCCATATCATAGATTTGGTGGCAGGTACAAGACCATTGCACTGGGCTTGGATGGTAGAACAAAAAGAGTATAAAGGGGTAAGACTAAGAGTTACTTTGAGCAGCAAAAGACAGGAAGTTGTAGAGAGCCATGATCAGACAAAATGTTGTTGATTTATTTAAGATGGAATGATCTATATTATTACATGTCTCTAATTTGTATTTAGATACAATGGATTTATTTTCAATTTTTCTAGTTGAATTGTTCACATATACTGCATTTGATCCATTTTTGTACATAATTAGGTTACAATAACATTTGTATTTTATATGAATACTACCTTATGAAAATCGAGATTTAGTAGAGTGTGGGGCGTATCATAGATTTTGGGGGCACGAGACCATTGCAGCGGCCCTGATTAACATGATAAACCATTTTCATTTTTTGTGATTGTTAATATTGCCAAGCAAATGCCGTTGGAATTTTAGTAGGATTAGGTAATAGTAACACCATATGGAAATATACACTTTCTTTTTCACTAAGAGAGTGACAAAGAAAACTCTCTCTCTCTCTTCTCTTATACGCATACTGCCTTTCCTTTCCTCAATTGTTTCTATCCTCGGTAACTGACAGAACCCGGACATAGCTTATGTGGGTCAGTGAACGTCATAAAAAAAATCAACCAACGACAACACGTCCGCCCAAAATCAAAACGGAAAACACGAAGAAAAAACCACGTGCGCACCAGAAGAAGTGGGAAATTGGTTTGATGTAGCAGTTCAAGACGCAAGGATTGGAGATTCATCAGATGTTGAGTTTGACCGAAAATGAAACTCCAGAAGAAAAAGAAGAAATGATGAATTGCACAAATTAATTTCTGTCAGCCAAAAAATCACAACGACTCTCAAATCACAAGAAGGACTAAGACGATAGTCACCCACTTTAACAGCTGTAACCAAATGGAGTAAACAATAAAATGGTACTATAGACAGTAAATTTGGCCTTTACTTATGTATAAGCCCAACATTCATCTCTATATACCATAGAATTCTCTTTGGTTGTTAACAAAGGTTTGTAAATGTTGTTTGCGAGACAGTAATTCAAGGGATGTACAAATTATCCTGTCCGGCAACAAATTATAGCAGAAATATAAACTTCTGGCAAAAGCATAAAAATCACACCAAAGTATTTGAAATTAGTTACAAAAATAAACTTTTGTGGTGAGCCCAGATAAAAAGTATGAAAATAAAATATATAAGCAAAAAAAAAAGAAAAAAAGAATAAAAATAAAAATAAGGCATTTACGTTCCTTTAAAACCTATATCACTTTCTCTCTCTCTCTCTCTCTCTCTCTCTCTCTCTTTCTCTCCTTCTCTCTCCATACTTCTCTTCCAACTAATGAGAAGGCAACCCTCAAATAAAAAAGGAAGAAGAAAAGATTGAATACGGATGCAGAACAGTGGAATTTTTCTGGACCAGAGTCTAGCAATTGTGACTAGAAATCTACCAAAATAAGAGAGGCGCCACGCATAACTTCCGCTATAAAAAGAAATGAAAAATAAAGAACGCCCGAAAATAAAATAATTTTGGTCAATCAAAAAAAAAGAAAAAGAAAAAAAGAAAAACAAAAGAGACTTTAGAATCTAAAGACTTTTTTTTACTTTTTTTAAGTTTAAATGTTATCCAAAATCAAGCCTAGCACCAGTAGTCTGGAGCTCTGTCTTAAGCGATATAAACGGACAACAGAGAGACAGAAAGAAAGAAGGAACTGCCAGAGAAAACAGCCCAGAGTGTCACGTGAAGAAGTTAAGCGGTGGTTTACTTAAGACATATTTCCGCCCTTCTGAAGGCCGAGAAAACAACAAATTGACCCCTGCAACAAGTTTTCAAAGTAAGCACACTCTCGACTGTTACCAAAGTCCGACTTGTAAACTATTCACTACCGAGCTGAACGTACTTGCGCCAAACCGAATTACAAAGGATTCACTCCACACATTACTAAGAACATCTGGCACCTCTTCACACTTTATTTTATTTCCTTTATGTTAATATTTATTTCATATCCAGTGATCGACCTTTTCACACGATCTTTATCTGAGTTTTCGTCTCGTTTTGAACCACATTTGTCGCTGAAATTCACAAATGAGCGAATTTGAATGGTAAGACATGTTTCTGTTAAATAACAAGTGTTGAAGTCGTTTTATTGATTTCTATAACCAAGCAAAAGAAAAGAAAACTAGACAAAAATATCAATAATTAATGCTTTATTGTAGTTGCTGTAACATCAGTTTCGTCTTCATCAATTTTCTATTTTTTAAGTTTTTTTTTTTTTAAAGCAGGACAGACTGGATCCTATAGCTCGTCTAGGAGAAAGACGATTCTGAATACAAAGCTCTTAACTATGGGTGAAGTCCGGGCTGTGTAGTCGTGGTTGGCAGCTAACAGATCATTTTGAAGTATCATACCTAAGCTTCTAATCTCACTCGTTACATGAGAGAGTGCATTTGAAAACAGTTGGGGTACATTACGGAAAGAAAAGAGAAAAACAAGAAATATTTTCCTTTTCCCGGTCGCTTTTTCTGAGATTTTGTTCTTTTCATCGGACGTTTTCTCACAGTTGGAGTCGTCGAATCGAAGCTTGACGTTGATCACAGCGCCAATATTTCAGACCTACTGCGGCACCAGGCACCAGGTTAGTTGACAGGGTGCAGTTTCTTTCAGTCAAACGCTTGTGGCTTGAAAATTACCCATCGGCCAGATCGTCATCCACGAGTGAAGAACAAAACAATTTTCTAACAGTAAACTAGATTTTATTTTTAGACATCAATTTATGCGAAGGCGAGTAGAAGTAAAAGTTAAGGTAGAGGTGCGCAGTCAGCGACCGTCGTCCGTGTTTATGTGGGGCCCCGTATCAAAATAGAAGGGGGAGACAAAATAGAAAAAGACGTCAAAATAGAATGTGGCATCAAGATAGACCATGGCATCAAAAAAAAAAAAAAAAAAAAAAAAAAGAGGGCGTCAAAATAAGAGAAATCGGCAAAATAGAATGGAGTGCCAAAATAGAAAGGGGTCCCACAAAAAGAAGTGGGCACTAAAAATAATGAGGGCACCAAAAATGATAGGGGCCTCAAAATAGAAATGTAAGCAAAACACCGGAAGAGAAATGCGAGTCATAATAGGAAAGTGCATCAAAAATGGCGCGAAAATAGAAAGGAGTCCAAAAATGACAAGGGATCATCAGGAGAAATGAGAGTCTAAAATAGTGATTAAGATCGCACATTTAATCCACGATATTCCTAGTATCCATCTGTAGAGCCATATTTCTATCGCTTCAAGTCTTTTTTTCATCTGTGATTTAATTGTCCAGCATTCACTACCATATAGGAGAATTGATATTACATAATTCAGCACTCTCTTCTTTGTTTCTATATTTTCTATAACTTAATATTTTGCTTAGTTTCTGAAAGACATCTTTCACTATTTCTATGTGTGTTCGCTATTCCTATGTGTGTTCGCATTTTCTGTTGCCTGTTACTAAACTACTAAAATAGTTTCATTTCTGTTCTTGCTTAATTTTGACGCCCTAATATGTCTTCTTACAGTTAATAGTTTGTTCTCATTTCTTTATGGGATTTTCTATTAAAAAAAATTAATGAACACATCTTTAAACGCATAATAAAAAAGAACTCGATGTGAAATGTTTATCTACAAGAATTAATATAGAAAAAAGTGTGTAGTGGCTTCCTCTAAATATTCTTTTGGGTACTTAATGAAATTAATCTCAGTAGAAAAAAATG